CCCAGGTTGGATTCGAGCCCTCCACCTTAGGTGTATGTGGCTGGCGCCTTAGCCACTTGAGCCACAGGCACTGAGCCTAAAATAGATAATTTCATATTACATAGAGGGCAAGTCCATCCATATATTGTTGATAAAATTTTAGAAATATTTTCTATAAAAAGTTTAGGATTTGACTGAGAATGAATCCATTATAACATGATTTCTACAGTGTTCCCATCCTCTTCCCCATTCTTACTAATTTTGAGAAATTTTAAAAATACAGAAAAATACAAAAAATAAGATATCCATATACCACAATCCAGAAACAACAAGTATCTTTACATTTATTTGCAGTCTTTTAAGAGAGAAGTGAATATTTATATAAAAAGTTGAAGACTCCTTTAACCAATACCCACCCCACTCCCACAGTCATTCCCTTCCCTTCTTGACTCTTCACAGGGACCATGATCATCTGTATCATTCCAAATCATTTTTAAAAACATTTACATACATATATGTATTCATTATCAGTATATAGTACTGAATTTTGTGAAGGAAGTTTTAATTATAATTTACAAACAATCATTGTACTATATGTCATGCTGCAATTTGATTTCCCCTTCAACAGTTTTCATCTGTTAATAAATTTTAATATCATTTGTTGCATTTGGCAGATATACAATATTCTGTTAAGAATTTTCCATTTTGTTCCATTTCTGTCTACTATGTATCAAGCCGTGATTAATATCCTGGTACGTATTTCCTGAGCATACATACTTATGAGCAGAATTGCTAATCAGTTTTGAAGCTGTTACAGGAACGGGTCTCTACTTCCCAAGGTAATAACCATTTTAGAATATAGCCTTCTCATGTTCCTGTTTTTAATCTCTGTGGATTTTTTTTTTTTTTTTTTTTAGAGACAGAGTCTCAATTTGTTGCCCTCAGGAGAATGCCATAGCTTCACAGCTCACGGCAACCTCCAGCTCTTGGGCTTAGGCAATTCTCTTGCCTCAGCCGCCAGAGTAGCTGGGACTATAGGCAGCTAGTTTTTGTTGCAGTTTGGCCAGGGTGGGGTTTGAACTTGCCACCCTCAGTATATGGGGCCCGCACCCTATTCAATGAGCCACAGGCACTGCCCATCTCTATGGATTTTATTTTTGTAGATAGTTTATTGTCTATTTTCTCCCCCTTAAAGAACAAATTACCTCCAAATCATTTTTTAAAATAGACCCATTATGTCCTTACCTAATTCTGTTTTATCATATCCCAAATTCTAATAAATGCATAGATCTTTCTGGAATCTCTTCTGCTCTGCTGAATTAATACCACAAGAGTCTTATTTTATTTGTAATTCATCATATCACCTATGTTTGTCTTTCTTTTCTTTTCTTTTCTTTTCTTTTTTTTTTTGAGAAAGAGCCTCAAGCTGTCCCCCTGGGTAGAGTGCCGTGGCATTACAGCTCACA